TATAGATAGGTACTGCACTGAAAGGTTGCCGGTATATATATGTATCTGTACACACACACACACACACACACACAGGTATATCTATAATAATAAAAGCGTAATATGCTAATTAGAGCAGATGTCCTTCCAGGCAACCTTCCTGACAAAGCTGGGCCTGGAAGGGAAGCCAGGGTCCTGGGTGCCAGAGGGAAGCCAGTGTAGCAGCCAGGGGAAGGAACGTCTACTCTTGCACAAATTTTATGCATCGGGCCTCTTAAGACAGAGAAGGCATCAGCATATACACGGCAGGTAAAGACAGGTAAAAGAAAGCCTGGGAAACGTCCCTTAGATTTGGAAAACAAGAAGAGCACTGGTCACTGGATAAGAGCACTTGAAGTGATATGAACACAAGTCAGATTTCAGACATAAGTGAGAAGTTAACTAGTGGAGAAAGAATGGAGATAAACTGTTACTGGAGAGCCCTCTGAGTGGGATGGGGTTGACTCTCCTCTCCTTGGCTCCTATCAGCTCGCAAGAAGGAATTCAGATGAGTAACAGACAGCAGTGTTGAAGCAAAGCAAGCGAATTTATTAAGAAAGCAAAACAAGAAAATTTATTAATAAACATGGCAGCCCTGGCCAGTGGTGCTAAGTGGTTAGAGTGTTGGCCCACAGACTAAAGGTTCAATCTCTACCCCAGGTCAGGGCACATACAAGAGGCAACAAATCGATGTGACACACATTGATGTTTCTCCCCCCCCGCCCCCCAAACCCTCCCTTCTACTCTCTCTAAAAACCAATGGGGAAAAATATCCTCAGGTGAAGATTTTAAAAAAAAGAATAATTGTGGCAGCCCTGGCTCAGTTGGTTAGGCATTGTCCTGTGCATGGAAAGGTTGCCAGTTTGATTCTGTCAGAGCACATGATCAGGTTTTGGGCTCAATTCACAGTAGGGGGCGTGCAGGGGGCAGTCAATCAATGTTTCACTCTCACACTGATGTTTCTCTATCCTTGCCTCTCTTCTAAAAATCAATAAAAATATTTAAAGAGAAAATAGAAGAATATACATGGCATAAAGCACAAGCAGGCAACTCAGTTAGTTTGAATGTACCACCCAGAGGGGGTGCAAGGGGTTTTATACTCTTCCCCTTTTTCAAAGTTCCTCTGCCAGATTATCTTGGGTGGCAGACTAGGTTTCAAAGTCCTCTTCTACATTGTTGTGGCTTATCTTGGAATGTTTGTACATATATCTGGTCATTTTGTTTGGCAAGTCCTAAGATGGCTGACTTCTTTGTATAGTGGGTGACACCAACTTCCCTTTTTCTCCCCTCTCCTTCCTCCTGCCCTAGCAGCTATCTTTCCTAACATCTCCCAAGTGATACTATCCAAATGCTTTTGGGGTTTTGTCCCCCAGACTTTATCTGTCTTTGGGTTTAGCTGGCACAAATGGCATTAGTTGGATCTTGGCTCTCTCTTTTACCAGGCCAGGGTGATTTAAGCAATGTATTCTCTGGTTAGAGAGGAGGGGTATAAACCATTTGCTCTCAAGTGTCTTGGCTGGGGAAGACAAGGTCTTGCAATTTACAAGCTAGCTGCAAGCTGCTCAAATTGTTTGGCCTTGTTTAATTTTCTTGTCTCAGTTTCCCCATTCCACTTGCCTAGGAATTTTCCTAGCTTCTTACTATCCTGCCACATAAACCATTGCCAAATACAAGTGGATTTGACACCCAACTCTTCCATGCAGGCATTAGAACCCAGCATGGCTTTTCTGAGCTAACATTAAAATAACCAAGACTATTTATTTGCTTGGTCTTTTCTAGGGACATAGGTTCCATTCCAGTGGCACCTGAGGTGAAATAGGTGATATCAAATAGCAGTCCCTTGCTAACTCATGCCAAACTGGTCCTCCAGTCAAGGGAAGCAGGTCAAGGCCACACTGGATTCTTTGGTTGCAAGCTCAGAAATTACCTCTGCTACTTTAAACAAGATGGAATTTACTGGATGTTCACAGTTTCATAGCAAGAAAAAGAAAAGGGCAAAATAAATGAATTCTTACTGATCACTCCCTTCATTCCTCTGCTCAAGACACAAATTCTTGGTGAGAAGCATATAATTGGCCCAAATTAGTCATGAGCCTACTGCTTCTTGGCTAAGGAAGGGAGTTCCCCAAATTACAGTCCCACTGTATCATATTGCCTGGGGAAGAGATAATGCCACAAAAAAGAAGCTGGGAGCTGTTCAGGATGGCCAGAAAACTAATATCCAATCACAGTAACCTATAACAAAACCATCTTTGTAACAGGTAGCATTTCACAAAGAAATAAGAGCAGGACATACATTCTATTCAGTAATCGATAATACTGGCTCCTCAGTTAAAAACAAAAGGGCACTTTTCTGAGATACATCCTTCCAGGTACCATTTAACAATATCAAATTGTGAGTGGTGATAAAGTTTGGCTGATATGTTGACTCTTGCATTTATGCCCAGAGAGTGTCCTTTAGGGAAATAGTCCTTCTAGATCTGATTATTTCAGGGCATAGTCCAGCCAAGTCTCACTGATGCTAGCACGTACTGCTCCTGAAATGGCACAGCTGGCTGCCAAGAGTACAGAATACAGCATTCAGGTGATCAGAGATGAAACAACTTGGCAGCCACCAACATGCTTCTTGACAAGAGAAACACGAGGTTCCTATTGCAAAACTGACCCTACTGGAATTTAGGAAAGAGCTTATTGCTATAGGCATGCTGAAATCTGCAGCCAGCAGGAACATCATTGTGTGTGGGGGAGGAAGCTTCTTGTCTGGTTTGATAAGAGTTGGCTTGAATGGCTAAGAGCCCGGCAGGAAGGCCAGGTCCATTAGTGTACTGAATTTTGTCATCAGATTCCACTTAAGCACAAGTCCTGCCAGGATCTGTTCCCAAAATTAATCAATACAAAGGAACAACTGCATCTGACCCGGTCACTCATTTGACCTGGACCCCTCTGAAATTTTGTCCACAGGATGCTAGTGTTGCCGGAGTAAAATAGTGACTTCTTCTGTCCAATAAGGTAAGTTCTAAAAAGGAGAAAACAGTGTGGGGAGCAGATTACAGCCATGCAAAATGAGACACATTTCCTGAACACAGAACAGACACCATCTTCCTTCCATTCCCACAGCTGCCAAAGAGCTCTAGGTCACAAATCTGAATGGATCTTGCCTGCTCAAAGTTCTCTATTGGCTCCTTTACATTCATGACATAAAATCCAAAATCTCTGCATAACACAATCAGGCTCATCTCTCTCTCCTCCTCCTCTACAGCCTTCCAATCCTATCTTATGCTTCAGCCATGCTGACCAGACTTCAGGTCCCACAGCAAGTCCTGCCCTGCAGGGGTGCAACTGTACTCCCTACTGCCTCTGTGAGGAATGCCTAACCTCCTTGTCTGCAGAGCACATTTCTGTCCCTCCCCTGAGCCTCAGCCCAGCTCTGACTGCCTCGGTGAAACATCCCCCTACTCTTCCAGCCCCCGAGGCTCTAAGGGCCTTTCTGTTTCCATAACCTAAGCTCTGGCATTCTGATTTATGTAGAAGGGTGGAGCTGAGGCTCTGAAGGGCAGTGAGTACATCCCTTCCATAACCTACATCACAGAGGCCTAGCAAAAGGCTTATCTTCTGGAAGGTGCTCAAATGTGTTGAAGTAGTGAATGAACACCACTTGCATTTTATCTCTGGTAATGTCTAAACAGAAGAAAATCACATTTGTCTTCTTAAAAGAGGGAAGATATTCAAATACTAAGAACTGCAGTTCCTGGTAAGACCTTTTAGAAAATGACGTCAGCAACAGTAGCAACTAGAAATTCAGCAGAATGATTAAGTACTAAAACCAGAATGAAATGGGCCAAGACTTGAACAGTCATGGTTTAGGTAGACTGGGACACAGGGGAGAGAGGACAGAGGAGGGGGGGAGTTGGGAGAGTTTCAAGACTGTCTAAGCTTGTCAAAGGTTTAAGAATCACAAGTTCTTGGCTTTTCAACCATAAAAGCAATCTTGCTGAATGATACATTCACATGGGTATCTTGGGGAAAGCTAGATCTGTACACCTATTAATAAAAAGGCCCTTTAAAAAAAAAGAATTATAAGTTCTTTTTCAAGAATCACATATATTTACATTGTGGATCTGGGATACACTTTTTACATGAGTTAAGCTGTTTCCAGCTGGAGTGGCTCTGGAAAGTCCACTCTAAAATGAAGTCACCTATTGTCGTCACTGTCCTCCCCAACCTTTGTTCTGAAACCAAGCACCTTCCTGTGACACCCAAAGGAGGCTGCTCTCTTTAGTTTTCCATGCGACTCCCTAGTTGGTCCAAGCTGTGGGGATCACTCTTCAGCTCAGGGGTGGACAGATGCTCCAGCTCATAGTGCCCATTGTCAAAGGCCTTATGTGTGGGTTTCTCTTTCATGCCCTCCTTCTGGCTCCTCTTGTGCTCAATAATCTGCTGGAGCTGGTGCCCCGCATACTCTGGCTTAGTGGTTAGTGGGCCCCCAGCTGGCACAGCCACACCAAGAATATCTGACACCATGTACGGGCGTAGCCAGCCCACCAGAGGAGTGCTTCCAGGGCTATAGTGGGTCTGCTTGTGGTAGAAGAGAAGTCCATCCACCTATAAGAAAAGAGACCAGGGATCAAAATGACTTCTGAGGCCACATGTTTTTAGGAAAGCCTAGACACACGGGGCAGCTCTAGTGGTTTAAATCCTTTTTCTGAGTCACTGCCAGAGGAAAGAGTTCTCATTTCTCACACATGCAATTTCTCTAAATGAAGAAATGGCCTAGAAAACTAAATTTTAGAAAATAAAAAAACATAAATAGCACATTCCTGTTTATAGTGTGCTTCCCTACCCACTACTTCACCCTTTTACCCACCATGAGGGTATTTTTGAGATGGGGCTGGCTCAAAGTTCTGCGGGGCTTCTGTAATAACACAGTTAGTATGAAGTAGAAATTCAACTTGAACCCAAGTCCTCTCCCCAAATCCCATGCACTCCCACCACCCAGAGATCTCATAGTGGGTTATGTGATCTGCACATGGAACAAAGCAGGGGAACTGGATAGGCCCATATGAGATGCTGGACTGCTGAGCACAGAGGAAACCTGTGTGGTCAGTGGTTGAGCAGTGACCTATAAACCAGGAGGTCATGGTTCAAATTCCTGGTCAGGGCACATGCCCGGTGTGGGCTTGATCCCCAGTTGGGGATGTGCAGGAGGCAGCCGATCAATGATTCTCTCTCAACCCATTGATGTTTCTATCTCAGACTCCTTTTCCTTCCTCTGAAATCAATAAAAATACATTATTAAGAACAAAAAGAAGCCATGGCCGGGACTGGTTTGGCCCAGTGGATAGAGCATCAGCCTGTGGACGCAAGGGTCCCAGGTTCGATTCCGGCCAAGGGCATGTACCTTGGTTGTGGGCACATCCACAGTAGGGAATGTGCAGGAGGCAGCTGATCGATGTTTCTCTCTCATTGATGTTTCAGAACTCGGTTTTTCTTAATGGTAAGATTTCCTACAGTCCCAAATTTTCTTTTCTGGGAGTCAGCAACTCATCTCTAAAAAGCATTTACTGGATCAACCAAAGGACTTGTATGCATGCATATAAGCCTAACTAATGAACACAGACACCAGGGTGGTGAGAGCAGGAGTGGGGGGGACGACATTGGGGGAATAAGGACATATATGTAATACCTTAAACAATAAAGAAAAAAAAAGCATTTACTGTAACTTTATTTATAGTATAAGGGCTATAAGTAAAAATAAAGATGGCAGCCACCCTGGTTAGTGTGGCACAGTAGTTAGAGCATCAGCCCTAACACTGAAGGGTCTTGGTTTTGATACACGTACCTGTGTTGTGAGTTCACTCCTCAGGCGAGTGCGGTAGGCAACCAGTCCATGTGTTAGTGTCACATCAATTTTCTCTCTCTCTCTCTTTCTCTCTCCCCCTCCTCCCCCTTCCCTTCCCTCCCTTCCTTTCTCATAAAAGCAATGGAAAAAATATCCTCAGGTGAGGATTAACAAAAATAGATAAATAAAAATAAAGATGGTGTTCTTACTACCTTCTTAATTGACTCCCAGAAATGAAGGCAACCGCCGGAAGCTGTGACCCCTCCTGCAAAATATATCCAGTTCAAGCAAAGACTTGTAGGTGACTAGGCAGAATTTTAAAGGGTATGTTGGGCAAAGGGAAGTTTGCTTATTGAGACTGGAGAGGATAACTGCAGGTTCTAAGGATGACAGAAGACTGCTCAAGACTGAAGAGCTGCTGACAATGGGAGATTTTCAACACTAAGACTGGGAAAGTCCTGGACACAAACTGGGATGAGTTCGTCACCTGCCCCATGCCACTGCTCAGCAATCACTGACATACTCAGGGATCATTTGCTCTTCCTAGGAAAGAAGAATTAGAAGTTTACATTCCTGTGGTCCATCAGTCAAAGAAGTCCCTTTACTTTACAACCAGCCATGGCAGTAACATAAAGGGCCTGGTTCTCAAGCTTACAGCAGGAAGGGGCAAACAAAGAACAATCTAGGAATGAAAGCCTCACCCAGATCTGGGCCTCAAATTCTCTATCTGTAAATTGAGAGAGTTAGATGAGGTGTCCTTTCAGGGCCTTCTAGCTTTGGCATTCTGATTTATTTAGAAGGGTGGAGCTGAGGCTCTGAAGGGCAGTGAGTACATCCCTTCTTAGATATCAGCTTTCAAGCCCTTTTCTTTTTCTTAAAGAGATTTTAGAGAGAAGAAAGGGGGGAGGGGCTAGAAAGAATCATCGATAGGTTGTCTCCCACATGCACTCTGACAAGGAATCAAATGCGAAATTTTTTGGTGTCCAAGATGACATTTCAACCAACCTTCTGAGCCACACCAGTCATGGCTCAGCCCTTTTCTGATGCTTTAACATAGCAAAGTCAAAAGATATCTTAAGACTGTGTAACCAAGTTTTCCAGTGTCTTGAAACCGCATCAGAACAATAAAGACAATGACTTTGTTACCTCAAAAGGGAAATCCATCGACAGCACCTTACACAGGCTCTCAGGGGTACAAGGAAAATTCTTTAGCCCCACAAATTTAAACTAAAATATAAATTAGAACAAAGAATTAGTACATATTACAAATAATACTATTCTAGCAACTGAAAAGCTATATCAAAGAAGTTTTTTGTCTCTTCCTTCCCAGCTACCTTCCCTCCACCTACATGCTGAATTACTAGGTCAGTGGTTCTCAACCTTGCTTTATACAGGAGAATCACTTGGGGAACTCTTAAAAATTACTGATGCCCAGGCCCCACCTTGAGATTCTGACTGAAATGGTCTGGAAGAAGCCCAGACAGTGATTTTAACATATAGTCAGGATTGAGAACCAGGGATTATATGTTATTCTTCTAGCCCTCTGACAATTGCCCCTAATGAAGGAGTAGTTGAACTTCTTTCACACCAGCAAGGATTTTATTTATTTATTCTTTTTACCAGTATTTCTTTTAGCAGCAAGGATTTTTAGACTAAAGCAGTATAACTAGTGCTTTGACTCCCAGCTCTGCCAATCATTTTATCTCTATATGATTTCATTTTCCCATCTGTAAAATGGGATAAAAGTATCAACTTCATAGGGTTGTTGTGTGGGTTCAATGAGATAATACATGTAAGAGCACTAGAACTGCTCCCATGCTCCCCCTTTTCTTAATACATGTTTTTCCAGGATGTTATTGATAACATCACTGGAAGTACTGACCCCATTTATTGTCCTGTAACTGTTATCTAATTGCATTTAAAAATGTTGTAACAAAAAAACAACAACAAAAACAAAAAAGAAAGAAAAGAAGAGCTAGCTGGCGTGGCTCAGTGGTTGAGCATTGACCTATGAACCAGGAGGTCACAGTTGGATTCCCAGTTAGGGCATATGCCCAGGTTGTGGGCTCAATCCCCAGTGTGGGGCGTGCAGGAGGCAGCCTATCAATGATTCTCTCTCATCTCTGATGTTTCTATCTCTCTCCTCCCTCTTCCTTCCTCTCTTAAATCAATAAAAATATATTGAGAAAAAGAATGTAGGCAGTCCGGCCACTGTAGCTCACTGGTTGAGCATCAGCCTATGAACCAGGAAATGGTGATTCAATTCCTGGTCAAGCAAGGCACATGGCCAGGTTTCGGGCTTGATACCCAGTGAGGGGCATGCAGGAGACGGCCAATCAATGATTCTCTCTCAGCATTGATCTTTCTATCTCTCTCTCCCTCTCCTCCCCACACCCCTCTCTGAAAAAAAAAAAAAAAAATATACCAGTATTCTTAAAAAATGTTGTAAATAATCCAGGCAAATACCAATCTACAGAGCTTATTAAATGTCCTCAAAATAGCTGTCATATATTTAATCATTGAGCAGATAACAAACACACTTCAACTACCATCTGTACTGTGGGACCGTGTAAGGCAGTCCCCTCTCTGAGTCTATATTCTCATCTGTAAAATGAGGGAACTGACTAGATGAAGTTACTCTCAGCTCAGATATAAGAGCAGAGGTTATCAAAATGTGGTTCATGGACCAGCGATATTAGCATCACTGGGGAACTTTAGCATTTCACACCAACCACTATTTATTGAGAGCCTACCATAAGTACTATGCTGGGAGGGCATACATATTTTTCTCATTTAGTTCTTAGAACCACCCTGTAAAATAGATATTATTAATCCTATTTTACAGATGAAGAAACTAAGGCCAAGTGATATTTTTAGCTTAGCCTAATAATTATTAAAGCCAAAACTGGAATTCAGATCCGGATGACTGTTAAGCCTATAATCTTCCTGTTATGCTGTACTATCTCAAAATTAAAGAATTTCATTTATAATGGTTGTATGTAGATAATAGATCATTCCAAACCAATCCACATAAAGAACTCTGCAGCCCGAATCCCAGGCCTTACAGGATTGAGCTTGGTGTTCTCTCCCAGTCCTTCTTCTTCTGGTAACTTTGAATGCATCCAGTAGAATCGGAAATCAGTCTGCCACAAAAAAAAGACAAAGATAAAATACAGCTCATCTCAAACTCTAATAGGAGCAAAAAGCCACATTCTAAATAGCCACCTGATTTATGAAGACCTAAGCCCTTCTATCGTTACCCTCATTTCCTTAAAACACTGCCATCAGATCAGGAAGATATTTATAAAATCTTTGAAGGTTTTTTCTTTCACTTTTTTCCTTAAGATTTGCCAACGTGTCAAAAATAACCTTTATTACTTTTGTAACAGCCTCTATGTTCTCACACTTTCTTGCCAGAAGCCTTTGTAGCAGGTGCTTTCAGGGCTGGAGCTTTCAGATCCTTGTGCTTTCCAAGGTGCTGCCTTCTGGCCTACAGCTTTCTAGGCAGACACTCTCTGGACTAGAACTGTCTTGCCTGTAGCGATCACTTTTATTTTTTAAAGAATAGTTTATTGACTTTTAGAGAAAGAGAGGAGGGAAAGAAACATTGATGTGAGAGCACAACATCAATTGATTGCCTCCTGCATGCCCTCTTCCACCAGGGATGGAGCCCAAAACCCGGGCATGTGCCCTGACTGGGAATAGAACTGGCAACCTTTCTGGGCATGTGATAACACCCAACCAACTGAGCCACATTGGCCAGGGCCAGTGGCCACCATTTTTGCTGGAACCTTTGCAGAAGCAGTTGTAGCTCCACCTTTAACAGCAGGTGCTTTTTGGGGAGCTTTCAGCAGAGCTGTCCCCGCCCCCCCCTTTTTTGGCTAATCCTCACTAGAGGATAGTTTCTCCATTGATTTTTAGAGAGGGTAAGGAAGGTGGGGGAGGGAGAAGGAGAGAAACACGTATGTGAAAAAGATACATCCATTGGTTGCCTCCCACATGTGCCCCAACTGGAGCCAGGGATCGAACCTGCAACCCAGGTATATGCCTTTGACCAGGAATCAACCCGTGACCCTTTGGTTCATGGGCTGCCACTCTAACCATGGTCCACACTGGCCAGGACAGAACTGCCTTTTAAAGGTTTCTAACTTCAAACTTGATTATTCAGTTCCTTATTTTCTTTACCTTCATGACTCTGCAATGATTAAACCTGTCATCTTGGCTTGCTTTTCTCTGGCTTCAATCTTCTTGGCCCATCTCGTGGCTGCCAGGCTTGTTAAGCAAACTTCTGGCGGGCACTATGTGAGAGCTTGAGGATGAAGACAGTAAGCTGCATGCATTTGAAAGTCATGGCCTGTCTCCTTACTTGAATGAAAGTTCCATTAACCAAAGCCCTGTTCTGATGGATAATATCTATAATCTCGAGCAGCTTCATGGCAAGAGGCCCAAAGGAAAGGTAGGCCACCCAGGCAACCTCCATGAAGCACCTGAACACCATGTTGATTGGGTTGTGTGAGAAGTAAGAAGGCATGAAGATTTTTTTTTTAAATCCAGTAGTATTATTAATGGCAGTAGACCAAATATTTATTATGGAAGACCTACTATTGTCCTGCTCCAAGCTAAGAACTGTACAAACATAATCTTATTAATCCAAAACCACCCTGTGAGAGTTGTATTATCATTATCTCTATTCTACAGGTGAAAGGGCGGAGGCTCCGAGACATTACGTCACTTGCCTAGTTGCACACAAAAAATACTAAGAGACCAGGACTCTAAACTCCAAATCACATTAGGTTGATCTTTGTTTTATTTTATTAATTCTGAGGACTAGAAACTACTACTACATAGCTGTAATTTCTCAAACTACTTGATTCTCTGAATCAGTGATATAAACCTTACTGTACTTACTTATGTCATTTTCTTTCCTTACATTATTTAGCTTTCAGAAACCAAAAAGCAACAACATAGTCTTTTCTTTATATTATAAAAACATAGGTGGTTTTGCCTAGCCGGTGGGGCTCAGTGGTTGAGCATCGACCCATGAACCAAGAGTACAAGGTTCGGTTTCCCATCAGGGCACATGCCCGGGTTGCAGTTTGGGTCCCCAGTAGTGGGTATGCAGTTGGCAGATGATCAATGATTCTCTCTCATCATTGATGTTTCCTGGAAAGGTTTTTTAAAAATATATTTTTATTGATTTCAGAGAGGAAGGGAAAAGGAGAGAAACATCAATGATGAGAGAGAATCATTGATTGGCTGCCTCCTGCATGCCCCCTACTGGGGATTGAGCATACAACCTGGGCATATGTCCTTGATGGTTATCGAACCTGGGACCCTTCAGTCCGCAGGCCAACGCTCTATCCACTGAGCCAAACCGGCTAGGGCTCATCATTGATATTTCTATCTCTCTCTCCCTCTCCTTTCTTCTCTGAAATCAATGCAAATAGTTGGAGGGTAAAAGATAAGTTTAAAACAAAAAATAGGTGGTTTTAGTTACCAAATTCATATATTGTAAATGCATGTTAGAAAATATCCTTCAACAGAATTACAGGAAAATATGTTTGGACTGAATTTAAGACTACTGAGTTTTAGGTTTGGCTCTGCACCTGGGCAAGGTACATAACAGTGGCTCTCAAATTCCATATCAAAAGGATTAGAAATAAGAGTACTTACCTTTTAGAGATGTTGTAAGGAATTCAATGACATAATGCTCAAGATTGCTTAGTAATGCATGTCCTGGAGAATATTGTTAGAATGAGGAGCATGTTAGAGTTTCAAAGTACCACCACTGAGCAGATGAGGAAACCTAGCTTTGAGGAATGACATGAAGGAAATAGCCTACCCAGCTTGTGTGACTCAGTGGCTGAGCATCAACCCATGCACCAGGAGGCCCCAGTTCAATTCCTGGTCAGGGCACATGCCCAGGTTCTGGCTCCATCCCCAGCAGGGGGTGTGCAAGAGACAACCAATCAATGATGATGTTTCTCTTTCCATCTCCCGTTCTCTCTCTAAAAAACAAAAAAGAAATAGCCTATGGTGATAACCCATGATTCTCACACTTGGCCTGCATGAGGAGCACCTGAAGGCTGATTAAAATATAATCCACCCCAATAGTTTCTCATTCAGTAGGTCTGAGAACTTTCATTTATTTATTTTTTTCAATTACAGTTGAAATCTCCCATTATTTTATATTGGTTCTGGCATATAGCATAAGGTTTTGACATTTATACAATTTATAATGTCTTAGTACCCACCTGACACCACACGTAATTACAAAATTATTGACTAATTCCCTATAAAATTATTAGCTGTACTTTACATCCCCATGACTATTTTGTAACCACCAATTTGTATTCTTAATCCTTTCACATTCTTAAACCAGCCCCCCAAACCTCCTCCCATCTAGCAACCATCAGTTTGTTCTTTATATCTATTTCTGTACTCCTTGATCATTTATTTTGATCTTTAGATTCCACATGTAAATGAAACCATAGATTATTTGCCTTTCCCAGTCTGACTTATTTCATTTTTAGGTCCATCCATGTTGTCACAAATGGTAAGATTTCATTCTTTTTCATGGCTAATATGCCCTTGTACATGATTCACCTTATTTATCCAATCATCTACTGATGGGCAGTGGGTTGCATAATATCTTGCTGTTGGAAATAGGGGTGCATATATCTTTTAGAATTAGTGTTTTGGATTTCTACCAATAAATACAGACTGAATTGCTGGTTAATAAAGTAGTTCTAGTTTTAATTTTCTGAGGAACCTCCATACTGTTTTCCGAAGTGGCTGCATCAATTTGCAATACAACCAACAGTGCACAAGGATTCCCTTTTCTCCACATCCTCCCCAACTCTTGGTGTTTGCTGACTTTTTGAGGATAGTCATTCTGACAAGTATGAGATAATATCTCATTGTGGTTTTAATTTGCATTTCTCTGATGATTAGTGACATAGAGAATCTTTTCATCTTTCTATTGGTCATCTGTATGACCTCTTTGAATAAATGTCCTTTCAAAGGTCCTTTGCCCATTTTTTAATTGGGTAGTTTGATTTTTGGTGTTAAGTTATGAGTTTTTTATAAATTTTGGATATTAACTCCTTATCAGATATATTATTGGTAAATATAGTCTCCCATTTAGTAGGCTGTCTTTTTCTTTTGTTGATTGTTTCCTTTACTGTGTAAAAACTTTTCAGTTTGCCCAGACGGTGTTGCTCAGTGGTTGAGCAAGACGTTATGGTTCAATTCCCGGTCAGGGCACATGCCCAGGTTGCAGGCTCGGTCCCCAGTTGGGGGTGTACGGGACACAGCGGATCAATGATGTTCCTCTCTCATTGATGTTTCTATCGCTCTCCTTTCCCCAACCTCTAAAAATCAATTAAAAATAAAACATTAAAAAAAGCCTTTTACAATTGTGAGTCTTACATTTAAGTGTTTAAACCATATACAAGAATAAAAATGTAGGTGGGATCTCAATACCAGATATCAAGATGTATTACAAAGCCACTGTTCTCAAAACTGCCTGGTACTGGCACAAGAATAGGCATATAGATCAATGGAATAGAATAGAGAGCCCAGAAATCGGCCCAAACCAATATGCTCAATTAATATTTGACAAAGGAGGCAAGAACATACAATGGAGCCAAGAT